TGTAACGTGTTACAAAAAAAAAACACACACACACATTAAATAATTTGTATAAAATTGTTGTTCAGTGGTAAAAATTTTGTGTTAAGTTTTACGTAAAAATAAATATTAAAAATAAAACAAAAATACAGTTAATAGGATTATTGTTCTATGAGGTGATATAAAGTATAAATTTAATGTATTAAATAGTCATAATTAAATTATTTATTTATCTTGATAAAAAATATTGCCAAGTATGTATATACATTATAATAAATTATACAAAATCTCAACAAAAAGAATTGTATGTACAATGAGAATATGATTAAACACGTGCGTGACTTAGATGTTAATACTTTTGTCACGTCTCTACGTTCCTCTTTGTGTCTGTTAAGATAAACGTGCATTCCAATAGTTCAACAAATTTAACATATGCAGACGAGTTGCTAACAAACTATCTACCATTTGAATATTATTTATATTACGAGAGGTGTTTAAAAAGATCGAACAAATAGTTGTTCGTTCGAAGTTATGATCGATTCGCTCTATTTCCACATCTATCTTCCGTTATGATTCTTACAAAGGTAGAACAGAAGAAAAGAAAAAACCAACTAGTAAATAGAAGAGTCTATTATCTTCACGTTAAATGTATGTCATCAGTATCACCAATTTCTTTTATAACATTTATATATATATATATATATATATATTCCTTAACAAACAATGAAATTTCATAGAAAAATAATACAAAATATATTTATGGTTTATTTTTTATGTAAACAAAGTAATGAAATATTATCGAACAATATTAATAATTAATCATTAACATGTTGTTAGCCTAATTGTCAATTTTTTTTATATAAATAAGTATTGTTTTAGAAATACATTGACATTAATTTTAACTTAAGATGCTAATTCTCGACATATATTTAACAACGATGATGTTTCTAACATATTATAGTATATAACATATAGTATTTAAAAAAAGAAAGAATATATATATATATAAGAAGAAGGAAGGTGATATTAAGAAAAGGATTGAAGGGGCAAGAGGGACGAAAGGAAGGGCTAAGGTGGGAGCACCGGTGCCCCTTTCGCGCGCACAGTTACCGGGGACTGGCTGTAGCCTCTCCTTATTCCGGCTTGGTACAGCTTTCTCTCTCTCTCTCTCTCTCTTTTTCTTTCTTTCTTTTTCTTTCTCTCTCTATCTCTCTCTTTTCTGTCTTCATTCCTTCCACTCCTATAGCGGAGGCCACATACCTCCTTAGGATGCAGTGTAGACCTGTCCATTGGCTGGCAGACACCGCTTCGTTTTTCGAAAGATCATCAACTAGAGTCTTTGTATATGTGTTGTATATATTCATGTGTGAAGGAAAGGTGTGAGACAGAAAGTGAGAGAGAGAGAGAGAGAGAGAAAGAAAGAAAGATAGAAAACAGGGAGAGCAAGAATACTTACTGGCTAAGTTCTCCTCTCATCCAGTCTGCGTCATGCTTTTCGAGATTCGTGTGCTCGTGCGTTTCATTCCTTTAAGTTTTGTATAAGAAGTTTAGATTTTATTACGATTATGTGATTAAATAATGTTAAATGTATAAATATCAATCTATATATATTTTTATACGATTGTTATTGATAAGATACAATTTAGTTGATAAATCTTGTTATTTTTGTTCTTGTTGTTGTTTTATTTCGTTGCAACCGGAAGGAACTAGGTAATAAGTGAAAGGATTTCTTCTAGTGTCTCTACGCGTTAAGACAATTCTTACGAAAGGAATGAAGTTGACGGAGATGAGAAATTATGTTGGAGAGGTGCGAAATATATTCACTCATGGAATTTGCTTTTGTTCAGATACTAAGTGATTTATTTGAGAGATCGGTTTAAAAAGGATATACGAGTATTTTCTTTCATCTTTAAGGTACGTATTTATTTTGTACGAATTTTTCATTTTTTGATACATTAAAAATTAATCAATCTTGTTCAGAATCAATATTATAGGAAAATAATGAACCCTGACCTGTCTTATTTCAAGATACGTTTGATTATGATATTAAGGTCATGGTCGTTCAGTTACATGTTTAACATTCTCAATAGTTGATATGAAGTAGTGTTGGGTTGCATTCGCGTTTAGTTTAGTTTCGTTTCGTTTCGTTGCTTCAAAGACATTCACATATCTTGCCAAACTCGTGACTCTCTTCGTCGTTTTCGCCAGTTCGAGGAAAACCAGTCTGACCAGCGAGAGTCCATGACTCTACTACGGGGGCGCAGGATCAGTGTTCTTCAACTTGCGAGAAACTTGTGTCAAGTTCGTGGATAGTAAAAACGATCGATACGATATGATCGAATCTAATATTACGATAAATTATTCTTTTCAATAATATGCATTTTTTTATTTTTTTAAATACGCCAATATTAACCTTTGCTTACCACACTTGATCCAAAGGACCCAGACCTTTTTTTGCAACTTGAGTCATTTTTCTCAATTGTACTCAACTTTAGTAATTTTTTCAACATATTTAAATTTAATTAAAAGCTATAAAACCTATATAGTCTTTTTAAGTAGATATTAAAGAAGTCTCAAAAAAAATGTTGAAGTAAATCTATACAATAGTTTTTTTTTTATAACAATTTTTCTCGCTCGGGTCCAAAGGACCCGAGTGTGGTAAGCGTGTTACTTCAGAAAGAGTGGTAAGCAAAGGTTAACCAAACCCATTATGAAAGTATTCTCTTACAAAAATTAAACTCTAATTATTATTTGAAAATTATATTTTTTATCAACTGCTTCTGTTTATTTATTATTATACGATTAAATGTGAATTAATGTTAATAAGAGAAATATAAAATGTTTTCTTTTTTATCTAACATCTATCGTATTTTAACATAATGTGATAGAAACAATGTTATCGTTGAATAAAATATAATCAAGATATAATTTGACATATAATAGAAACATTATTTATTAAATATTATGAAGAAAGGAAATTCGTGGCAAATGATTAATGAGAACAAAATTTGAACGAGGAAGTACAACGGTGTTGAGGCTTCTTACCGATGAAAGTGACGCGAGGTATAAGAAGAGCGCGTGGCAGGATATTCCTTTTCTTAGTCATTCATCCTGGCATCACCTGGTCACGCGGTGTCAGGATTCCATGCGCGTAACGTAATGGAGGGGCGAGAGGGGAGGTGCCGTAACGGTTTTTTTTCTTTCTTTCTCCCTCTTTCTCTTTTGCTTCCTCTTTCTTCGTCAACGATTAACAAGTCTAGGACGTTGAAAGAGACTCCGTACAACCATCACAAAACAGTTAGCTTATTAGTTTGTTTTAAAAATGTACTATAGACTTTTTGCATACATAATTGTTTTATAATTATTTATAACAAATGTTATTTTAATGTATCTGATGATACTTTAATATTTTATGATTATGTTATTATTAGATTCAGTTAGAAGAGGTAGTCTTTTCAACTCGAGATGATTTGATCGATTTCGTCCAATCATTTATTTCGTACTTGACCGATAGTAATGGCCACTTCTGTTTGAACTTGCACACACTTGTCGGTCATCGTCGTCAAGGTTCTTGAAGTTTCTTTTCCGTATTGCACGATGAAAAGATGAAATTGCTTTTAACTGTGAGATAATAATAATAATAATTTTGTATGATTATTGCGTTTCACAAAGGCTGAGTCATCAGTTCAGTTGGTTGAATTATTTAGAATGAATTTTCGTGATTTATTAGTTGCTTTAAAATCTTTAAATAAATATTCGACAAAAGTATTTGTTTATTTAGTTACGTGAAGAAATTTGTTTGTTTCTTAGAAAATCGTTCATTGCTAGGAACGAGAAAAATTCTTAATATCAGAATAAGTGGATAGTTACGTGGCAGATCCGTTTGATTAATAACTAGTTATTTCAAAGAGGGAACATCCCTGATAACAAGGTACGAAATGCGGAAGTAATGTTGAGTGCACGCACGAGGAAGCTAAGAAATTATGGGGAAGTTACCTCATAGCTGTCGTTTCTCCTGACAGAATCGTTTGTTCTCACAATTTTACGAACGCTATTCTCTTGACTGAATGTTGATCTTAAAATAAAGATTGACGATGGTTTTATTCGAGGTTTTATTAACTCTTAAAAAAAAAAAAAAAAAAAACCAAACATTTCGATTATCTACTTTCTAATTATTCCTAAAGATTTCAATCTTTTAGTCTGTAGTTATGACGTGAGAATAAAACTTAAATTGTAATGGATTATAATTTTATCCCGGGCAGGTAATAGAGTTGTGTAAGACTTTTGTTCGACGTTAGGAAGTATCTACGAGGCGTGTAATAGAAAGTTAGCAGCATGATTCCAACAAAAGGTGCAGCAACGCCGACGTCTTTCTGGCTTTCTCGAATTTTCCACCTAACGCAGCTATCGTGGAACGTTACTTTGATCATACAAGTCGAGATATACCTTAAAGGCAAAACCAAATAAATATTTTGATCGTGTTAACGAACATACGGATCGCTTTAATTTTCAATTACTTTTCTCGATACTCGAAGCATTTAACTTCCAAGGGGGACTCCTGAAATGGAATCTGATTTCTAACGGCTTTTCACTAACCACATGTACTTGTTCGAAGTCATTGAGACACCAAAAATAGAGAGTAGTTGTATACCGGTTGGTGGTTTGTTACAAGATATTTTTCTTCTTTTTTTTTTTTTTCCTTTTTTAAATACTAAACAAGAACGAAAAAACCATTGAGAGTCTCCTCTGGTATATCTACAAGTAGACACGTTTTGCTTATGAGTGTATGCAAGGAAGCATCCTTTCAAGCACGCGAGCTACTTCCTTTCTTTTTACTCGTCAGCGCGGTTATCCGGTCGTAACTCTTTAGATAATGGGTCATCGAAGTTGAACGTTCTAACAACTCTTCTCTTTCTTCCTACTTTAATAACGTTTTACGATTAACACTTTTAGGTCTGTAATTTTAACAAATTAATGCCTTTTATGAGTATTTATCATTAATATAATACTTCGTTTACTTTCAGACGACAATGTGGATGTTTATGTTTCTACTTTTGACCACGTGCTCCCTGTCACGTGGTCAAGTGATCAACAGAGCACCACATTTCGTTCAGGGAGGAGACATGGCCAGATTGGCCGTTTCCGAAGGTACACCTTCAGGTGCACCGGTATATACTCTTCAAGGGGAGGATCCGGAAGGTTCTAAATTACACTATTCTATAAGTGGAGAGTACTTCACCGTTAACAGAGAAACTGGTGTGGTTGTTCTTCGAAAAACGCTTGACAGGGAGACGCAAGACCTGATCGAAGTGATCATCAGTATAACGGGTAATTCTACTATGGCGTGATTCCCAACGTTATTTCTTTTGCGACTTATTACGGTATTTTATACACTCGTGCGCGGCAGAACCTATTCACGATTCATAAAAATAATTCATTGAATAATATTGTTATATACGTTTAAAAGATGATGAAAGAAATAGATAAAATAGAAATATATATATATATATTACAGATGAAGGTATCGCTGGCTCGGAGCCCAATACTGTATCACTTCGTCGAGAAATAGCAGTCCTAGATGAAAACGATAATCCGCCGATGTATCATGGTCGACCGTATGCAGCGAGGGTGCCTGAAAGCGCACAAGTCGGTGGATTATTGCTTCCTTCGGGAACGATCATGATAACTGATGAGGATGGTGGTGTCAATGCTGACATTCACGTTGAATGTGTTACAGCATCGCGAGACGACGATGTTTGTAATACCTTTGACATCTCGACTGAAAAGGTGTTCTTTAATATTTCTGATTTCTGATTGATATAATAATACACTGTCTTCTCTAAATTCATTCGAACATTTTATAACATGTATATTTTTTGTTTCAGTTAGGAGAAGGAAAATACGATGTACAAATATCTTTGGCGAAACCTTTAGATTATGAGAAGAGAAATTCTTATTTAATTAATCTTTTAGCAGTTGACAGTCCGAGTGACCCATCGAAGAGGCTACAAGCCAGAGCTACCGTTGCAGTCGACGTCCTCGATGTTCAAGTAAGTAGGTCTCTGTTCAAAGTCATGAAAGTAACCGGATGCTTAACGGCTCATGCCGCCTATGTGCCCGTTAATAAAGAAGTAGTCAACACTGGTCTATAATTACCAACACTGATCGGAAAGATATATGTGTAACTATGTTTAGCATAATATATTCTAATAAATATGTATTATATTTTATGTATAGGATCAACCACCAGTTTTTTTGAATGCACCGTATAGTGCAGCTCTACCAGAAAATACAGCTGGAAATCATACGGTTTTAACGATCAGAGCACGAGACGGTGACACAGGTGAACCGAGGCCGTTGCTCTTGACTTTGGAGGGCGAAGATTCGGGTCATTTCGGTCTGGATGTTTTACGAGAAGGTGACGTCACTATAGGGAAACTCGTGACCACGAATGTTTCTCTTGATCGAGAGGATCCTAGAATCCTACAGAATGGAGGAATTTATACATTTCATGTTAAGGCTACTGAATTAATCAATAACGAAATACCGGCCGATTCTGCTACGTCAATCGTGACAATTGTCGTCACCGATGTTGATGATCTTGTACCGGTTTTCAATGAGAATCATTTTAATCTGAAGATTTCTGAAGATATTGGAAAAGATACTCCTTTACCTGGTGAATATTATTTATATATAATATTTAAGTTTATTGTTATTAAATTAATAATAATAATTATAATAATAGTAATTTAATTTAAAAATATATTTATTTTTGTTAAGGTTTGAATATGATTGTTAGCGATGGTGATGTCGGTGATAATGCTAAATATTTTTTGGCCTTACGAGACGTACCAGAATATCCTGGAATCAGTAAAGCTTTTACAGTTAGTCCTGAGGAAGCACAAGGTAGAGTACCTGTCGTTGTTAAAGCTAAAGATGTTAGTGTGCTCGATTATGACGTAGATGATGAATCAAAAAGAGAATTGGAATTTGAAGTCGTTGCAATGGTTGCCAGTGAAGTGGTGAGATAAGAATTTTAATGAAATTTATGAAAATAGTATAGGAATATTCAATAATTCAATTAAATTGTACAGGTTGCAACATCCAGAGTGCATATTCAATTATTGGATGCCAACGATCATAGTCCAGAATTTTTACAATCTGTTTATAAATTGACTGTCCCCGAAAATGCAGAACCAGGTACTCGATTTGGGGACATCTTTGCTCGAGATTATGATAGTGGTTCGTTTGGTGAATTAACTTACACTCTACGTGGTTTCGGTGCTGATAAATTCTTAACCGATCCTGAAAAAGGTGGTATTTCGGTTGCCAAAAAATTGGATTACGAGATGCAAAAGTCTTATTCGTTGACTATGGAATCAAAGGATGGAGGTGGAAGAGTTTCCGCTGTTAATATTCTTATTGAGTTGGAAGATGTTAATGACAATTATCCGATCTTCGAACAAGTCGAATATTCTAGGACGGTGCGCGAAGGGGCTACTAGTTTTGAACCACAAATGTTTATCAGAGCCACTGATATTGATGGGCCTATGCAAGGAAATGGAAAAGTTTCGTATACTATCGATCGGCAAAATAGTTTGACGGAAAATGTTTTTACGGTACGTGTATTACTGTTAGAAATTAATTTAAAAAGTATTTGAAAGTATTTCGATTTCAACAAAATTATTATTACAGGTAAATCCAGATAGTGGTGAAGTGACAATGTTGAGGCCTGTAAAATCTGGAGATACGGAAAGAGGAATTTACGAATTGGTTTTTCGTGCCACGGATGGTGGAATACCACCTCTCTATTCCGAAGCAAAACTTTATGTTCGAGTTGGTGTACCTGGAAATCAAAAGCCTATATTTCGTGGAAATTACAAATCCAATCTACCTGGACCAAATAGTTATAGAGCAAGATTACTGGAGAACGCATCACCGGGAACCGAAGTTATTAGGGTGGTAGCAAATGATCCTGATGGACGGGATAATTTATTACAATATCATATCGCATCAGGTGCAAAAGATAATTTCGTTATCGATTCGAGGTGATTGAACATTTTTAATTGTTAGTCCGATTAAAATGTATATTGCTAATCAAATTTTGTATGCTTTTGGATAACATTTGCACGTTATGTTTCTATAGTTCAGGTATCATCACGGTTTCTCCAGATGCTCGTTTAGACTTGGAGAGTGGAGGTGATAAATATGAAGTGATTGTTCATGCGATTGATTCTGGTACACCGGTTAGAGAAACAGCTAGTACAACTGTTACCGTGAATATCGTTGATGTGAACAACAAACCACCGATGTTCAACGAGTCTACATATTTGGTCTACGTATCGGAGCGTGCAGCCATAGGTACATTAAATGAAGTACATATAATCAAACGAACATTGGATCCTATGCATTAAGTTGACACATATGCGTTGCAGGAGAGTCTGTTTTAAAAGTATTAGCCACTGATCCAGATTCGGATGCATATTTGGAATATTCCATCGTGGAACCAATAAGAGCCGTTGATAAAACTGGTGTAGCATTGAAGAGTACAACACCGTACGATTATAAAACAGCTTTTCGTATAAATTCTAATACAGGATTAATAACTGTTAACCGAGTATTGGATTACCAAGTTGCGGCTGTCATAATACTTACTGTTCAAGCGCAAGATTTAAGTGCAGTTGTCGATAAAGAAAAACAAATAGCTAAAGCAGAGGTGACCATATATGTTCAGGCATACAGTGACGATAACCCAACTTTTACTAATACTGGATGGTCTCCTAATAATCCAGTGATAAGAGTCACTGTCCCAGAAGAACAGCCTCTTGGTACAACACTGTTGATGCTGTCAGCAAAGGAGCCAACAACTGGATATTCAGTTCAGAGATTTGAACTCGTTCGAGATGAAGATGACGAGGGGTATGTTAATGTCGGTGTTCAAAGTGGAAACGTTGTTTTGAGTCGAAGACTCGATTACGAAGTATTGAATCAAAAGGTATTATATTTATTACCAATCAAATGAATCTTATTATTAATCGAATATTAGAATTTGAATATATTTATCTTATTTCAGTTTATTCGTTTTAAAGTACGTGCTCTCGCAAGGGATTACGAAATAACACGAAAAATGTCAGAAGCAAATGTAATTGTTGAAGTTCAAGATGTTAACGATAATAATCCAGAATTTACACAGAAAGATTATAAAATTTCGGTATTAGAATCAGCTAAAGCATCTAAGATCGTTTTGAATGTAAGAGCAACCGATATGGATAGTTCGAACACAGAACAAGAAGTGGAAAGAGGCTACGGTGAAGTAAGATATTCTATAACAGGCGAGAATGCAAATTTGTTCGAGATGGATTCAATTACTGGAAATATACAGGTAAACAATAAAATCTAGTATTAATTTTGTAACACTTTACTAGATGGATATATTTGTTTTTTTTAGATCGCAGCTAACACGAGTCTTGATCGAGAGAAACAATCGGTTTTACGGTTTTACGTCGTTGCATCAGACATGCCTCAGGGTGGTGCAGAACAAAGGAGTACCAGGGCGTTAGTCACAGTTGACATCTTGGATGTCAATGACAATGCACCAATCTTTCCACAGGAATCCTATACCGCTGTTATTCCTGAAAATGCCTCAACAGGTGTCAGTGTAGTAAATATTACAGCGACGGATCCAGATGAAGGAGAGGGTGGCCGAATTCATTTCGAGATCATTGATGAAGGGGAAGCTAATGGTAATTGTTTCAACTTTGGAATTTTGTACCAAATTTAAATGATCAATAATAATCTAATATTAATCTGATTATCACAGGACTGTTCAAGATAAATCACACAAGCGGAGAAATCTCTTCAGCTCGACCTTTAACAGGCAAGGGAAGAACAGAACCATACAACATGCGTGTCCGAGCTCAAGATGGTGGAGTACCACCCTTATTCACTGACGTAATCTTAATTTTATACATCGGTGACGTAGTTAGCAACGATGGAGTTCCTTTATTCATCAGACCGACCATTGAAGAAGTAGCTTACATTTCGGAAAATTCAACGATAGGCAGTCCCGTGTTCCAAGCTGTAGCATCCGATCCTGATGATCCAAATCTGCCAAATGGAAAAATAACTTTTAAGTTTTTGGAAGATGGCAATTTTGGTAAAGATGCCAGTGCTTTTAGGATCAACAGTGAGACTGGTTTGATCACAACGAGGAAACTGCTCGATCGTGAGATTAAGGACAGTTACACATTGATTTTGGTTGCTCAAGATTTGGGTGTTCCTCCGCAGCAAGCGACTAGAGTACTTCAAGTAATCGTGAACGATATCGATGATCATAAACCACATTTTAAGAGAAGTTTAGATAGTCCACCGATCGAGTTAGGTGTTCCAGAAGAAACTTCAAATGGTACTAAAGTTGGTATCATTGAAGCAATCGATGAAGACATCGGTGAGAATGGAATGATTGATTATGCCATTATTTATGGAAACGAAGCTGGATTATTCACGGTTGAACGTTTAGAAAATAACTCTGCTGTTATACGAACTAATGGTCGTTTGGATAGAGAGTCTATCGATCGTCATTTATTAACAGTGAAGTGTTTCAAATATTCAGCCAGTAAATCGGACGTTGTTCCTAAACCTTATAATCGACAAGATCCTTCGGAGAGGCAAGTTCTTATCAGAGTTCTCGACATCGATGACAATCGACCTAAATTTAAGAAAGATAACATTACTCTTGGGGTGAGATTAAACGTACCAATCGATACCAGTTTGATAACATTGGAAGCAAGTGACGCTGATTCTGATGCTTTATCGATAAATTATTATATGAGCAATGTATCCTTCTTGTCTCTGGTAGACTCCTCGATGTCATCATTGGTTACACCACCTCGTCTTTCGTTGAACTCTCAAACGGGTGAGCTTAGAACAATCGGTTCTATGTCCGGTTATGCGGATGGTTATATGGAACTTGTAGTGACAGCTAATAATTCTGCGACACACGGTAGAGAAACTAACATAACCTTGAGAATATTTTTGTTAAGAGATAGGGATATGCTGAAGTTTGTCTTCTCTAAGCCACCTGTTGAAGTTAGAAAGACATTAGAGGATTTTGAGAAAGCTGTTCAAATGGCTCTTTCTTTACCAATTACTGTTAATGTTTATGACACTCAATTTTATTCGAAAGAAGACAATTCTTTAGACTTTTCATCTACTAGTTCTTGTTTCCAAATGGTTGGTAAAGAGTCTTACGATTTAGACGAAATGAAAGCTTTACTGACAGACTCAAAGAATGAGGAATTGAAGAAGGTTTACAAGACGTTCAACGTGGAAAAGGTGCAACATTGTGCCGCTGTTGTTGCACGGGCTGATGCCTCCATGACACAAATGTGGGTGCTTGCTATAGCTGTACTTGTTGGTATTGCAGCCATTGTATCGAGTTGTACACTCTGTTGCATGCATGCAAAGTAAGTTCATACTTTCTTTCGTTTTTCTTTTTATTTCATTATCATCTAATTAGATGAGTTTATTATTTAGGTGTTAATTTTAGTTATTAGTTCTAGCATTTGTTCTAACGCGTTATGCTTCAAGAAATAGTAATATTTCGAAAGGAGGTCGGAGAAAGAAGAGATTTAGATGAGATTTTATGTTTCAGATATAAACGGCAGGTAAAACATGCACGATTACGTGAACAACCACGACCAACTTTGAGTTATGTATCTTCTGGACCAGGAATGGTTAGTGCAGCTTCCCACACAACTTTGGGTCCTGGTACTATGGTTACTTTGGGTCCACACGAGGGTCCTTACGAGTGGGGTGCTGATACAACTCTTTATCATCCTAGTACTCTTTCTAGAGCATAGGACAATTGTTTGATCTTTCAAAATTATTTTAATCTTGGTCTTAAGAAATTTACAGTAGGCTGGATTTTGAAAAATAATTTGAAGGATTCCAATTTGGTTTCGTTATAGATTGTTTACAATTATTCACTATGGTGCATGTACAGGAACGAACTCTCTTTTTTTTATTAAAAGACTTTCAAGGTCGAATTACGAATTAATTTCGTAGAATTTTGACTCAATGAGATTATCGAATGGTGCTATATGTGTATAAAATACGAATTATAGTTTAATGTGTAATGTTAATACTGAGTTTAGATACTTTTTAAGACGTTCGTGCCAAAATACGTCGATTTATCTTTCAGATAATAACTTTTGTACTTTATTTGAACCCTTTGAGTGCTGTCTTTCCAATGTTAATCTTGTGCCCTGAACTGTCCACTCTGTACGAAGAAGCACACCATAGGTTGCATATTTTTTGACGAAAGAGCGCAAGTTGAGCTGACTGAATTTTCATTGCAAAATCAAAATGGAAGCCTAAATTAAATATATGCGTTTACAGTTCTCAAAGGGTTAAAAAAAAAGAAGGTAATATTAAGTTTGTAAATTTGATCGTTCTTATAGTCATTACTCACGTAGTTGGAACTAACTGCGTTTTAAAAATGAATCTCACTTGTATTATATAAATCGTATTTAATGAAAAGAAAAAAATTGTACATTGGGTATTACTAATGCTAAATTAGAAAATTAAATGTACATTATTACGCAAACTATTAAATAACAAACGATAATAATTTGTTTTATATATATATATATATATTAAATAACGAATAAAAAGTCTTTTTAGAAATAATTATAGATAGCGGAATTATCTGCAACATAATTAATCTTGTATAAAGTAATATATCCATAATTTCGCTTATTACATTAAGTAATTTATTTAAGTATCTAGTTATAGAATGCTTTACTCGTTAATCATCATTTTAAAGTCATTTTCGTGAACTCTGAAGTAGGTAATCGTATGCCAATCGAATATCTTGCTTCATGCAAATATTCATAAGGAAAATGTCAAGGTAACAATTTGATCTAATGGACATTTTAACACAGCAGTTAAAATTGAGTATTATGTGCGTCTGAAAATATAGCGTCATATTAGAATAATAATGATAATATACTAATTCATGGAACTATAACATTTATTAAGCGTTACATAAAAAATAACATAAAAGAATGTCTACAACAATCGTATTGTTAATTAACAAATCTAATATACACTTAATTTTTCTACTTTTGATCTATTATATTATATAACAAAATACTTTACTTGAAAATATTTCAAAATAATATTATACTTTATTTTAAAATAATTTTTATTAAAAAAAAAAAAAAAAGATCATAATAAAATATAGATTTTTACGAATAAGGAAAAATTACCGTGTGTGATATTAAATATTTATTTTATTCTAATTTTGTTTAAATTAAAAAATATCTCGTTTTATAATATTTTTACTTTAAGATATATGCATAATTGTTTTTTTTTTTTTTTTCATTTTTCATTTTTTTTTTATTCAATTAGTATCTTTATTTGTATGAGTAAAACCACGATCGAATCGTTCAAATCCTTCGAGAGTATCAATATCGGTAGAAATATCGATCATTTTGGTGTTTTCTATCGTTGTTGTGTTCTCACAATTGCTGTTTTCATTATTAATCGTAGTTGTTGTATCTGTCGTTGTGACGATGATTTTTTGAGCCTCATACTCGTATTTCTCTGTGCTAGCATAATCCTCTTCCAAGCTTGATTTATGATTCGAAGGTATGATCGAACTTTCGGATAATTCGTTATGATAATTCGTTTCGTTTGCGTTATTTTCGTCCTTGATCGTCAAAACTTTCTCTTGAAGATGAGTGGTTGGTAAAATTATTTCTTCATCTTCTAGGTCTTCTTCWTCTTCTTCATCTTGTTTTGAATTTTCGATAGACGAATGATCGGTTAAATGTTTAGCAATAGATTCCAAAGGTGTCATTATCTTTTTGACCATTTGTTGACGTTCCTCGGGTTCCATATTCTCCGATCTATGGATTAATTCATGTCTGAAAAGTCATTTCGTTTGAATATATTTAGTTACATTTGAATAAATCGATAGACATATTTGATCTCAAGTCTTATTTGCATATATAAGAATAATAATTCTCATGAATGAAGAAGACTTTCGTTTATTATCGAGTGTAAAAAAAAAAAAAAAAAATAAACAAATCGAAGCTGAAATTTGAATTGTTTAATTAATTTAATTAATCGACTATAATATTTATTGAATACATATTTTCAAGACGATTCAATTTCATAATTTAACTAGAGATGCTCCGCCACGCCTTGTTCGATACACACGTCTTTAAGTCAACGAATTACCTTATACTGCCATCAGTTAGAATCTTTTCGAACTAACTAACAGAGATAATCATGACTCTTTGTTAATAAACAAATAATATTGCGATTATAAATTGAGATATAAACTATCCTATATTTCAAGTTGGATGAAACTGCATACAATGTGCAAAATTGTATTAAAATCGGTTCAATAGTTTAGGAGTCCATTACGGACAAACAACGTGACACTTAATTTATATATTATTTAGAAGAAAGATATATAAAATGAACGTTGACAGAGATCAATAGTTAGCCGAGTATTTTTGATTTATAAAACTAGTTGGATCATATTTGGAACAATGATGCAAATTAGTTTAACAAAGAATATTCAATGACCTCGCAATGGTCTCGAATTCAGACCGTGGCATTTCGTGAGATAAGTTCTTGACGAGCCTGAGGCTGTGGTCACGACGACTCATGAGTGACGTCTTTAGATTGAAAAGAATGAAAGAATCATCGTGTCTTCTTTAGTACTATACCACGTGTATTCACTATACCAGTGAAAGTCAGTCGAGTTTACAAACGTTCTAAGAGGAGTCGAAACATAAACGTTTATTACACGTCGTTTACAATGATTTCATTTGGTCGTTATTGATGCGCGACGTAAGTTAGAACGCGCCGATTCATTAGCCGACGTCAAAGGAATGGGATTTGAGAAAGCAACTGAATACTGTTTATGTAATAACGCACTTATAGCTCTGACTTTAACTTTAAAAGTCTTATTGCTAATGGAAACAATTTCTATGATGATTATCATAACGATTGATTCTAATCAAGAAGAACTTACCTATTTCAATTTATAATTTATAATTAACCAAAATGAAAACAATTTTATTCTTACCTACTAAGTTTATTTTTTCTTCTTGGATAAAGGTTCAAATGAAGTATCATTTGTTGTCTCTCTTCTTCTTCGGTTAAAGCCTGTTGATTAGGTACAGCCACTATAGGAATAGGTTGAGAATTAGAGGAATAAAATTTAGGACCTCTATTAAATTGAATCGGTCTTCTAATGTCGTAATCTTCCGTAGGAATTTGTACTTTTGGTTTGCCATTTTTTTTATTCTGTTCGACTATATCGGTAATCGGATAAATATCCAACATCACGCTGAAAGGTTGTGGTTTTTTTCTTTTCTGATAATTCGATATATACGCATTTTGTAATTGCGATTCGGCTGTTGGTGGTGGTGGTTTTGTAAAAGTTGGTCGTACAAAGTATGGGTCGTAATATGGATTGTATCTGTTAATACCTGCTGGTGAAAATCTAGAAAAATGATTATTACATTTGGTTTATAAAAGATCAATAAATTAAATATTATTTGATGTTAAAGTCTAAATTGTTCGGTTATTTGTTACCTAACATTAGAAGTGGCTAAAAGATTAACGTCAGATGGGTGTTTAGGTTTATATTGATAAAATGGATCTCCGTTATAATTCGAAGAGTAGTAAGAATCATCGAATTCTTCTGATCTATCAGAATTAGAAGTAGCTTCAGCAATTTCAGGATAAACATCGTATTTCTTAGGATTAACATAAACTCCGGTGAACTTGATACCTCTGCTAGGCATTTCTGCGTCATTTGTAAGATATTTGATGATATCTTGAATATTTCTCGAAGCGTGAGGATATCGATATTGCGTTAATTGGGGAAATTTGATACGTTTGAACGAGCTAGGATGTGGGGTCCTATATTCCCAATGAAATGGCATTGGTTTTCTATCTTCTAAATTATCTTCTTCCTCCGATTCTGGAGGTTTATATCTATTCAAAATATATTTCGATAATTATGATAATGAATTAAGATAAGTCAAGACAATTTGAAAAAAAAAACCACAACGTGTTTTTTGATTTAATTAACATTTTAATTACTTATATTATAATATATATTTTCTAGAAATTTGTTTCTAATTTTTCGATTTTTATTCTATTGTCATAATTACCAATACTTATGTGATAACAAGTTGTCAAGACATTAATATTATCTTTTATAATTAATGAAAATAATATTACCTTTGTTTTATCCTATAAATCATCGCATGATTATTAAATAGTTGTTTATTTTCTGGGCCATCTTCCTCGTCGTTATGATCATCAATAGATTTTAAAAGTCTCTTTCTTAATTTAAAATTACTCGGATTTTGAGATCTCGATTCTGCTTCGATCATATGTTCCATAGAAGCTTCTTCTGTAACTTGGTCAGATGTTTCATTTTGATGTGATAACATGTCTTCAGTGTTATCATCATAGGAATGATTTTCTATAGGATGTACGGTTGTTTCAGAAGTGATTTTAGGATCGATTGTTTTTTTAGAAACACTCGGTCCTTTTCTTAATGCATTTTGAAGTACATATATGTGCTTAGTTTCTTGATTTATTTTATTTGATGATGTCGCGGAAGTAAAATCGTATAAAAATACAGCCACCTATGGGAAAAGTTCACGCGTTCATATTAAAAGAGAAAGAGAAAAAGTCATTTTTCTATTATTATTACAGATAATCTTGAAAGGTTGCAGCAATAATAAGAGTAAAAGTATACTTTTCCAAAGAATAGAAATTCTTTAGCCAATAGGAAAAGTATATATGCAAGGCAAAGTTTACATAATCAAAGACGATCATTCAAAATTATTGGAACTCGTAATGTTAACTAAGAATAATGATAAATCTTGAATATTTAGAAAAAAAAAAAAATAATCTATGGAAAAAAATATTCGACAGAGAAAAGTCACATAACCATAACTTCCGCATTGTTAGAAGCAACGACCATGTAATATATTCTTTCGAGTATCTTGATATTTGTGTATTAAACTATGAGTTTCTTCTTTTTTTTTTTTTTTCTTCCTTTTTTTAATTTTATTTATTTATTTTATACATTGATGATGTCTCAAGCTGACGAGTCGTTACTTTCTCCTCTTTATACTCATCATCCTTTCCCTTTCGTCAGAATTTAACATCAGGAGAAAGAAAAAAATTTCTCTGCCCTTTTGTTGAATCAAATAAGAAAGAATAAATTTTTGTTGTCAAGTATTCACAAATGGAATTATATAAATTAAGATTTGAAAGATAATACGATGAATTTGATAGATAATAAAAATTTGTTGTTGTTGTTGTTGTTAAGCTACGTTTGCGTTATAATGAACTAGAATTTTTTGAGGATACAGTTAACGAATACAGTGATGTAGGTATTATTAATTAAATCTTATTTTCATTAACCCTATTTCGATGTGTTTCGCGTGTAGTTAGATTTAAATCCGCCTAGTCAAAATGACTATAGTCGGCCCATATGTGAAGGACGCAGAAATCTCTTTGACGCTTGGCTCGTCATGCATAGAAGGAAGGTGTTATACTCTTGTATCTTAGGTGAAATTTTAATAGTTCGTGTCTCTATTGTACCTCTCACATTAATCATCAAAGAAAACTTTCGAGAAATGGATAATTGTACGCTCAATTGTTTGTTTTCTGTTATTGTATTGTTGTTTTTTTTTTTTTAACCAGACATTGCAAAAATTGTTCTACACATTTTCACAAAATTAAACTTATCTTCATAATTCACTTATTCTACTGAAATTTTAGAATATTTTTCATTTATACGAGTAAAATGTTTTTATTTTTTTTATTTTTTTTAGATAGAATTACATATTACATTAGAAGAAAATTGAAATAATTACAATTATATGACAAATTATATGATTTTAATAGCTGTTGACTAGAATGATTAAGTATTAACGAAGACATTGGACTATGATTCACGATACATAATTTATATAAATACATACTTATTTTCTCATATTGTGTGTGATCTTTGTGTAGAAGAGAATAGCAAAGTTTAACGCTCATTTAACTAAATATCTTTAAGTAACAATTTCGTTTAAAATTCTTTTTATAATTTCATTTATATCTTCAATCTAAAACTTAGATAATAATTACGAATTCGTTGAATTGATTGGACCTGGTCTCAAAACCGGGTCTTTCGTCTTGAAATACTTAATACCCCAATAGGAATAATAATAATAATAATAATAATAATAATTGTTGCTTACCAGTATCACTGTTATGAGTACCATTATTCCAATGACAAATTTTCTCACGATCGAATTGTAATGATTTTTGCGATATCGATCACTGCGATCGAAATAAAGTCCAAGTTCGGATATACTTATAGCACTTCTTCGTCCAGGATGCAACATTTGTTTACGCGAATTAGATTGATCGGGGTCCATTATAATAATTCATCGATAATTACTGTTATCGAATAAATTAGATACGAGACTATATCTAATGTTCATTTTATATAAATTTATCAATGCATACGTTATGAATTTGATTTTGTTAACAAATTGTCAAGTTAAATACTCAAATACTCTTTCAGATTAAAAACTTTAAATAATTGATCTCTATTTTTTTTTTTTTTTTATCACGAGATGTTATTCTTCCGATGCTTTCTATGGTACTAACAAGCGTGTATGTTCTTTACCATAAAGTTTTCACTAGTGATTCTATCAAGTAAGTAGAAATTTTCTTTGTCCGTGGGGGAGGCTCGTTATGGTAGGAGGAGACAAGTAACTTTATGGGCTACTTACCTCGACAATGTTCAACCATTTATATCGCGTGATAAGTTTTTTTTTTTTAACAAATAATACAAGAATGTTATTGTTGTTTCTTTTTTTTTTTTTTTTTGGAAAAAAAAAAGAAGAAAAATATTTATTAGAACTTTTTACAAATCATTACATTCTATATGTACTGCTTAGATTTCTTCTAAATTCTAAAACATATATGATAAGAGGATGATACATTTTCAAATATTTTCTCTAACCTTATTTGACGCGAAGAAGAAACTTAGCTGACTGCGCGATATCTTAAATTAACGTGATTAACGTGTAATTGTGTGTTACATACAAATGTATACAAATAAAAGGAATAAAAAAAAAAAAAGAGGAGACTTATATAAAAAAAAAAAAGTGTCTTTAAAACTCGGTACATTTAGTTGTTCAACTAAATTGTACGAATTTTATTTGGATCATCGTTTACGAAAATCGAAGAATATATCAGGGATCGGGTAATTGTAACCTGTTGGTCTGTAGGTTACCGGAGGTAAAGTAGGAGTAGGGGCAGGTTTTCCCGTTGGTGGTTTGTACGTTGGTGTGCTCGGCGTTATACTGTACAGCGGTGTAGGATAAGGAGGAGCAGTTATAGTGGAATAAGTTGGTTTTTCGGATGATGGTGGGAGATAAGGATCAGGTCTAGTGCTATGAGTTGGTATAGTTGGTGTATATGACGAGGTGCTCTTTGAAACGAACGGAGTTCCCGTGTCTGGTGGAAGATAAGTTGCTCTTGTCGTACTCTGCGAGGTACGCTTAGTAGTCGTTGTAATTTTCGGGGTTGTCGTATCATAAATAATCTTAGTGGTTGGTGATTTTGGTGGCAAATAAGTTTGCTTTGTCGTTCTTATGGATGGAATGGTCGGGGTTGTCGTGTCATAAATAATCTTAGTGGTTGGTGATTTTGGTGGTATATAAGTTGACTTTGTCG